GTTGTTTTTACTCTCATGCAAAATAAGGTGCATTTCAAGTTAGAATATTATTATAGAATTATCAAAATATTCAGTACAAATGTTAACTTGCAAACTGCTCATATGTACATTGATCATAATCAATGCAAAATCCTGTTGTCTAGCAGTCAAGAGACTGGTTACATCTTAGGGCATCCATGTGGTGGATTCTGGATCGTAGAATTTTTGATGGCATGAAGACATACTTAAGACATATTAAGTGAACATCTGAAATCATATATACAATATTTATTCCAATATCATGTTTAAAAAAGCATAGATGCTTAGAAAGCAAATAATAACAGTGGCTCTTTGAATGGTAGGTTTGTGAATAATTTTTATTTCACTTGGTTTTCAAATTTTCTGCAAAGGTACATACATAATCAGTGAATATTATAAAACCTGATGTAATTCAACTTACAATAATTCATTCCACCCAATAGCAGAAACAATATATATGGTAAAGCGATATATCTTTGAAGTTCTATAGTGTCAATTGTTATGTTATGATCCTTTTATTCCTTGCTTTTTCTACTATATTTTATTTGTTAAATGTGTTTTTATTCCTTAGAAAATTATTCTCCATGTGTCTTTTTAAAATCTGGTCTAAATAGTTATACACACACGCACACACACACACCCTTTATTTTCCCTTTACTCATCAGTTTTGTTCAAATAATGCGTGTAACATAGTTTACAAAGTCAAGTGAAAGCACAAGCTTGGAGACAAAGCATAGCGGTTCCTGGCTTCACCCATTTCCACCCAGGCTCACACTCTAGAGGGAACTTTATACAAAGTCTTAACTCTTTAGTAGTCAAATGTTGCTATTGTGACCGAGTGACTTTTAAGTTATATTTAATAGTAGGGAAGTTACCTCCACATTACTAACTAGATACCTCTACTGTTCTTTTTTCACTCATTAATTTTAGACATTATTTACTTTGTGTCACCAATAGATGAAGTGTTAACTCCCATACTCCTCTTTCCTCTCATCGTTCCCAGTGTGGCTCACTTACTACCCAAATTAAGTCAGCAACTGTGTGTTCACTTTTACAGTTATGTAAACATTGTCCTCTGCAGGCCAAATAATGTAATTATACTCCCTTTACTTAACAGTTTTGTTTTTTCTTCATCTTATTTTAAAATTAGTTATATAGTATGCCTCTCATTCTCTGAAAGCCTTCCCTGGCTCCTATTGTCTTCAGGAGGAGGTCCAGCCTCAGTGTGTGTGTGTGTGTGTGTCCTGCAAGCTTATCCAGCTGATCTTCATCCTGTATCCTCATGTTTCTGTCCATGTGCTTCACCTCTGCAGCACTAGTTACTGTACTGCATTACAGTTTTTACAGCACTATTTGTATGCTAGACAGTATAGAGTACCTTTAGAGAGTTTCTTCCTCTTGCCTCCTTTTTCTACATCTCTGAACACTTCCTTGAGCCTTCTGTGCTTATTAGCAAGCCTTCACCTTCTCTAGGAAGATCTTTCCATTCCCACTCTGACCCTTGTCCCATACCCAGCATGCCTGGGCCACGTGCCCCCAACATGTTGCTCTGCCACGACTCTGTTCATCTAGTTCTGAAATTGTTTATGCCAGCTGTTCTCCAGATGTGACTTGGAGTCCCTGAGGTCTCCTAAGATCCTTTCAAGGGGTCTGAGAGGTCAAGTACTGGGCTTTTCTCCTGCAGCATCTGAAAACCCCTAGTATTTTTAAAACATTAGGGCTTGTTGAAAAAAACAGCCTTGGGGCATACCATTGAACACCTGTGCAACTGTGTAACCAGTTTACCAACAAAAACAATAACAATTCTTATGAGATTTCTAGCACAGCTAAATCTCAATTGGGATGTGCACCTAGCATCCTGGTCATTTAATCCTTTCCAGCCTTAAACCCTAGTGTTCATCTTCCTCCTTTGAGATTAAGGCTCTGGAAGATAATTTACTTGTGGCTTTAATTTTATTTGCATATCAATATCATTTTATCAAAATTACAAACCTGAACCTGGATATGGTTTTCATTAATCTGTTTTAATTCGAAGAAAGTGTTTTAGCCTTGTTTCATTTGCATTTCCAGCTTCCCATATCACTTGAAGACACTGTGACAAAATCTAATTGCTTTGGAGGGAGGTACTCTTTATTTTGAGTTTTTGCTTAAAGTCTTCATAAGCTGCTAAGTTATCTTTTTAATATGTGGAAGCTTCTATCATTCCAAAACATGATCAGTTATTGCGAACTGCCACAACGTCCTCATTATCTCATTACCCTGTATACGAAATGTATGAGCTAATTTGTGTTAAAGTAACATGCACTGTAGCAGATTGTACCTCCTATTCCAGGATGCCTTTCCTGACAGCTCCCTTTTGGATCCCTTACAGCTTTCTGTTCAGATCTGCTTGTCTTTCCTACCAGACCACAGAGAAAGGAGTCTGGGAAATCTGGTTTCACAGTTTTGCACTGCATCTTGTTGACAAGGTGATGTTTTTTCCATACTTCTGAGTACATGATCTCAGGTTTGTTGCAGTGTACTTTCTAAATAGGAAATGTAATTGTTTTTCCTTTGTTAATAATCTGTGACTGATTCTATTACCTATAGTTGATGTTCTTAAATTAGAGTGGACTCAGGGTCTCAAGGAACTCAGGAGCCTTGTGAAATTATATGTGAAACTTTTGATTTGTTAATTTCTAATAAAGGGTGGGCCCATAAGTATGATCAGACTCTCAAAAGGGTCCAGACTTAAAAAAAAAAAAAATCACTGGCCTACAGTATAAAGGTCTTCGGGTGCTAAAAAGTACCTAAATGCATGTGATTTCTCAAAAGTATCGTGTGCTGTCTTGCTTTGATAACAGCTGTTGTCTCAGCCTGTAATAGATTTAATCATATTACACAGTTTATACCTTTAGGAAAGTTTTTTTTTTTTGATGCCTGAATACAGTTCGCTCTTTGGTCACCTCTGGGCTCCTCTAGAATGGTCACGTGAATACTATCGCTCCATCCCTTTACAGAGGCCTCTCACTGGAGAGTGGGCATGTGAATGTCTTCCTCAGACGTTTATTGTAGTTTCTAATGAGGTAATATACAGATGATGCTTCATATAGTGTCTGTCAGAAAATGGTAATAGTTCTTATTGGCTTGATTTTTCCTTTTTCCTTACTTACTAAGAATGTGAATGTCTGTGTAATAAAGTCAACATTTGTTTTGCTGTGGTGACTTTGGGTAGGTTAAAGTTGAGAAGGACCTGAGAAGGGTTGGGTCATTCTTCAGCCCTACAAACAAGCAGAAGGGGAATAATATTTCCAACTAATGAACTGTGGCCTTCCCAATAGAGCTGTTTATTAAATGTCTGCATGGTCAGAGTTACTCTTCTGCAGTCCTTAGGCAGGTGCCACGCTGGAGACTAGCAGAAACTATCTCCTTAGGGTAGCTGCTACTTTTTCATTTTAGGAAGACAGTCTCTCTTTGACTGGCAGATGAAAATTTAGTCTGTACTTAGAGGCCTTGTCATTGAAGAAAAATGTTTAAATGCTGGACTTGCACTCAGCAAGTTGAGAAGCTTGAGCTGTAAACTGATGCGCAAACCAGGACCTGTCAGAGGAACAGCAGGTTGACATCTCCCATTGCGCTACAAGCTGCAGAATACCCTCTTTGAGGGGAATGGTGCTGTAAGCCTAGTACTTTCTACATTACTTTCCTGTGCTGTGGGGCATTGGAGCCAGCCAGGTTTGTGTAAGTGGCTTGAATAAGTTAAATAGTATGACATGAGTTCCCAGTATTTCCTCTACTCAGAAAAGTTAAAGGAGATCATAGGAAAAGACAAATGGATACAGACAAACAGTACAACAGACTCTGGTGAGGAAGCTGCCCCCGTAGTGCTGGAGCAGCTTGGTGCCAGGGCTCTGAGGATCCTGAGGAAACTCAAGGCCCTGATTGCTTTTCTTCTCTACAAGAGTGAGGCTACAGCCTTATCAGAGATGGCTTTCAAAACTCTATTTGTTTTTGACCATGGATATTTCATTTCTTGCTTCCCTCTCTCCTGATTTATTCAGAAATTAATTGCTATACGAGTTACTTATTAACTATAATTAAAGCTTGTGTATTAGTATTATGTATTGGAATTTTTTAGTTTATCAAGATGTACTTACGTTCCCATTCAAAGATACTGAGTTTGATTTGTTAAAGCAGTTCATTGTACACATGTTCTACTGCTTAAGCTATTAAAGTTGTTAATAAAATTTATGGTCATCTTATTTATTATAGCAAAGGTTACCAAACAAAACAGCCTCCATGTAGATACATAAGTGGATTAAGCATATGGGTCTGGTCTGGTTTTTTGTACATTTTGTATTCAGTGTTTGGGTAATATGTTTTTCGTTCTAAATGCATTTAACATTTTGGATTTGTGTGGTGCATTCAGGAATTGTTAGCAGATTTTTAAGTTTTGGAATTTTAAATCACTCAAGTAATTCAGGCATATTAAACAAGCTTACCATGCTCTAAAGAAGGCCACATGACTTAATGATGAAGAGCATGGTTTCTGAAGTCTGAAAGACCTTTGACTGTGACCCCCTCACTGTCACTTTCTAGAGCGGCACTGGCCACTGTGGCAGCTCCTGGTCATGTATAGCTGTTAAGCACATGAAGAAATGTTGCTATTGTGACCGAGTGACTTTTAAGTTATATTTAATTTTGGTTAATTTAGTTCTAGCCACATGTGACTAGTGGCTACCATATTGGGCCTCACAGTGTAAGGTGACTTAACTTTTCTGTGTCCCAGTTTCCCATCTCTACAGATGAGAGCATAGTTAAGCTACCTTTTGTGGTGATTATAAGAATAAATAAATACATTAAAGGAGCATAACACTATGTGTGGAACAGAATATGTCCTTGAGAAATGATAGTTATAATTATTTTTATGTATTTAATAAACTGGAATAATTCTCCTTTTGAGCATTAATTTAAACCTATTTATTTTTATTCTTCCCTTTCAGGATTAATTTATTTTTGGAAATCAAGTGCAATATTAAAAGGAAAACAAACCACATTACATTATTGGAAGCCATTTCTGCTAATTTTATTACTTTTTAAAATTTATGATTTGATTTGAATACTGTCATGGGAGGAGCTGTGAGTGCTGGGGAAGATAATGATGACTTAATTGATAACTTAAAAGAAGCTCAGTATATCCGCACTGAAAAAGTGGAGCAAGCCTTCAGAGCTATTGATCGTGGAGATTACTATTTGGAAGGCTACCGAGACAATGCTTACAAAGACTTAGCCTGGAAGCATGGGAACATACACTTGTCAGCACCTTGCATTTACTCTGAAGTTATGGAAGCATTGAAACTTCAACCAGGATTGTCTTTTCTTAACCTGGGAAGTGGAACCGGATATTTAAGTACAATGGTGGGCTTAATTTTAGGTAATTTTATTTTTGTAAAATTTTATTTTAAAAAGTAAGCTGAGTTTTCATCACTGTTTATGTGTAAATACAGAGTTTGTAACTTTGTGCCTATTATATGCTGGAATATATATACTCAAAATAGTTATCTTCTTGAATATGGAAATACAAGGTAATAGTAATCCTTTCTTGTTCGTAGCCCGAACCCCGATAGTTAGCTTCTGCGTTCAGTCCTGGACTTGAAAAGCTCTTGGAACTATTTTCCAATTCCCAGTCATTGTACTTAAAACTGCACAGCTGGTAGGCAGGGGGCTCAGGAGTATCATATACTCTGTTTCAGCTAAAGCATTCTGACTCCTGGCATAAAGTTATTGGTGTTCCATTTTAAAGGTAATAGTACCAGGTTTTGTGAGAGATACGGGCATATACAGTATATAGAGGGTGTGGCCCTGGTGGAACAAAGTAGGGGATTGGAGAAAAAATACAGAGAGAAGTATGTTTCATTAAGCTTTCAGTACACTTACTGTCTGTTCTGCCAGGTGTTATTCCTGCTGTGAGTATACAGCAGTGACCAAAAGTGACATATATCTGCTTCGAGAAGCTTCCTGGGTGCTTACTATGAGGAGTAGGCATTGCACTTCACATACAGTAACTCATTTGGTGTTCCTAGCAATCCTGTCAAGTATATACTATTGCGATACCTGTATGTATGGGTAGCAAACTGAGGTACAGAGGGGCTAAATAACTTTAACTTGCTTGAAGTCATGTAGTTAGGAAGTGACAGCTGGGGAATGTGGAGTGTGGGTGGCAAGAGGATGAGTGGAGGCAAATCTGCTTTAGGATGTTATGAATGGAAGATGAATAACCATGAGTTTTACTAAGCCACTTCATATTTTCTGACTACCCTTGGTGACAAGCATTAACGCCCACAACATAACAGGCTCCTGCACTCGAGTTCACAGATAGGTGGGGGTGGGGAGCCTTAAGAAAATCAAGTGTTGATCCAGTGTGATATGTGGTAGGATTGAGGTGTATGCCCAAGTAATGGATGATACTGTGTGGTTTAAAATTCACTCTGAAGTGTCAGGGAATCACTGAAGGATTTTAAATAGAAAAATGACTCAACCATATTAGAGTGGCTGTGTCCCAGTATGCTTGAACAGTCCTTGTTTGTCCTAGCATCAGTATTTATAATATACATTATTTCACAAAATCTGACAGTTTGAGCAATATCATGTGGTCACGTTATATGACTGAAGGCATTTTTAGGCCCTAAGTCCCCCTTTCCTACATACTGACTAGCTCCTTACTTTCTTTCCCAGTTATGGTTCTACAGTTTATTTCATAAAAATAATTGAGTCATTTCTTGGTATATAACATGTGCTCAAAAATGGTAGCAAATTAATTTTTACCAAGAAACAAGTTTAGCAGCTTACACACAAATTTGGTGCTCCTGGGTATCCTGAGATAGGAATTTCTCAGCAGGTTGGGAACCCCAGACTTTTTCACTAGAGCCTCTTTGGAAAGGAATCTCTGGAGTTAGATACATTTTCCAAATCAAACAAACTTAATTGGGGAGAGTAGGGGAAGCTTCTTTTCAAAAATGAACCAGTACATTTCTTGACCATCTCTGGTAGCTTTAGCCTGGAGCCCAGGCATCACATCATGTCTGACTAGCCTCAGCACAGGATAACATCTTCTCCAGCCTCATCAGCTGGCTCCTGTTGAGGGAGGTCAGTCTGGCCAATGGCCTAGTGTGAGGAGAGAGAGGTCATAATTAGCAACCTTGCTTGCAGTGAGTTTGCCTTCTTTAAACTCAGTCCCTTAGTCATAGTCTCGAAGAGATTAGATTCCTGTGGCCAGATGCATTTGTAGGCTGGCCTCAAACATCACTGTATCTTAAATGTCTTTTAATCCACATCAGAGGGCAGTGTAGGGAAACAGACCCTCACATAAATGATCACACAATGCACTAGACATTTCCTCCTGTTAGAAGCTCCAGGGAGCTGTGGATCTTTAGTTACATGTAGGACTATGGTATCTGGACATTATTCCAGGATTTATCTGTTTGTGGTCCTGTGGTCAAGACCAAGATAGAGTTTCTTTTTTTTTTTTTTTTTGATGGGAAATACTTATTGGATGAGAAAGAAAATAAAAACACCTTAAAAAAGGAAAGGCAGAAAGAGTCTATAAAACTGTGATTGTAGCTAATAAATCTTTGATCTGTCCAGCTTCTGAGGAAGCTTAGTCTTTTTTCCCCTTGCCCTCCTTTTTTGTTTGTGTTTCATGAGCATTTAAGTGAAGGAGGGGAGAGTACAACCATAAAATCACTTAGGTACAGATCCAAAGAAGGATGGATACTTACATGCTCCCTGATTACCTGAGTATAGTGAATCCAATTGGGCTCCATTGTTAACAGAAGTTCTCTATAACATCATGGCTGTCAGCCATGTTTCTTTCCTGGTCACAAGATGGGAGGATGTGTGTTCACCATTGGCAGTAATTCTCAGCTGAGGACATGCTCAGCATAGTTTAGAGGAACCCCGGCTGCAGCAGGGAGAAGAAGGCATCTGTGGTTTGGTAATGGAAAGTGCCCCTTGAGGATTTTCCACAATTCAGAAATGCCTGACAAACATAGGCTGCAATCTTGAGAGCTTTTGTTATTCAGTGAGAGGAAGTTATCTTAACTGCAGGAAATTTCTTTTGATTAAAGTACAGTGGAAAGAGTTGCTCATAAGTGGAATTTGTTTTTGTCCCTGGAGAATGGATTACTCTAACTCCTCATATGCCCCATTTAGACAACTTGTTTTGCTTCAAATTTAAGATAAACTCTTGTTCCACTTGATTCTCCATCGGTCTTCCTGGAACTAAGGAGTTTCACAGAGAATCTAGTACTTTATTGATTCTCCTCCCAGTACTGTCTTCTCATAGCTAGGGAATCCCATTGAAAAGTATGGGGCAAGAAAAGAGGCGTACCAAATCCTTGATTTCCCAGAGTTGAGTAAAACATCAAAACTACAAGGGCAAGTTACTCTGATACATTTTTTGATTCAGGTAGAGTGGTTCTTCTCCATTCATCCTTTTTGCTTAAGGATTCACTCCCATTTTCTTATATAGCTCATAATATAAAAATTACAGGTTTCTTATAAAACCTATAATATCAAGATTCATCCAATTTAATGACTTTCTTAGTCTCTTGTCTAGTTCCTCAGTTAATAGGAATGGTTCTGGAGAGACTGCCAGAATCATTCCAGCACTACAACATTAGTTCCTAAAGGAAGCTTGTGTGTGTAGAAACTTACTACTGACATAGGTAAATACCTACAACTGCTGTGTTGTCCAGAAAGGATGATTAATTAAGCTTCATGTTGCCATCATGTTTGGTTTTTTTATTTTCTTCATTGCAGGACATTAAGTGGTTCTCATTCAGTTACCCTTACTTACATTGCCTTTGACCTCAGATAGTCATGTTTTCTCTTTCATTTTAGCTCCCCTCTGCCCTTTAATGAGGTATAATTCACATACCATAAAGTTCACCCATTTTAAGTGTACAATTCAGTGGGGTGTAGTAAATTTGCAGAGTAATGCAAACATTATTCATATTGGGCCATAATCCACTTCAAGAACACTTCTGTCACCCCAAAAAGATCCCCCATGCCCAGTTGTATGCACTTCCTGTCCCTACCCCCAGCCCCTAGCAACTGTTACTTTATGTTTCTTTAGATTTGCCTTTTCTGTATGGCACATAACAATGGAATCATACAATGTATGGTTTTGTTTATGGTTTCTTTCACTAAGCATCATGTTTTCAAAGTTTGCCCACGCTGTAGCATGTATTAGTACCTCATTTCTTTTTATGGCTGAATAGTATTCCATCACATGGGCATAGCACATTTTGTTTGTCCATTCACCACTTAATGGACATTTGGGTTACCCACTCTTTGGCTATTAGGAGTGATGCTGTATGAATATTCACATACAAATCTTTGTGTGTACACCTCTTTTCATTTCTCTTGGGTGGATTCCTAGGAGGAGGATTGCTAAACTGTATGGTAAGTTTAACTTTTTCAGCAGTTGCCAAATTATTTTTTAAAGTGGCTTCACCATTTTATATTCCCTCCAGCAATGTATGAGGTTCCATTTTCTCCACATCCTTACTGTTGCTTTTTTTTTCTTTTTTAATAACCATGTTAGTTGATATATAAGGGTATCTTGTGATTTGAACCTGTACTTCCCTGATGTCCAATGATGTGGGGCATCTATATGCTTTTTGCTCATTTCTAAATCTTCTTTGGTAAAATGTTTATTCAAATATGTCTCCAATTTTTTATTTAAGTTGTTGGTGTTTATTATTGAGTTGTAAATATTTTTAATATATTTTGGATATAAGCCCTTTATCAGAAATAAGATTTTCAAATATTTTTTCATGCTCCTTTAAGCATCTCTTAGAAAACTTGCCTGGTTCACTTCAGGCCAGAGAGTCAGGGAGATCCAGTGGTCTTATGCCCCCACCCCTTCTTGGTAAGACAAAACACAGTCTGCAGGTTTCCAAGGTTTTCTCTTAAGGGAGATTACATTTTCTGCATTAGAAGTCTTAGGTGCACCTAAGATCTCTGTGCACCTTGAGAGTTTGCCTTCAGGATTAACTCTCCCCAACCTCGTTAGATTATCCATATACCAAATACAGTCAGTCTGTATTATTTGCACATTTTCCTACTTGCTAAAATTTATTTGTAACCATCAAGTACTCAGAGCTTTCAAGATCATTCATGCACATGTACATAGGAGTGAACAGTTTGAGTTGCTCTGTGAGCTCATTCTGAGCTGGGGTGGAACAAAGTGAAGCTGTGCTCTTATGTCAGCTATCATACAGAGATGTTCAGAGAACCAAGCGTCTCTCCCATTGCTGGCCCCTTCAGTGGGGCAGCCTCGGGAAAATTTCACTTAATACTTTGAAGCTCATTTTCTCTTGTAGACTCTACCAGGATGAGTTCTCAGGATTTAAGATTATGGTCTACTTG